TTTTTGAGACGGAGTCTTGCTCTTTCGCCCAGGCTGGGGTGCAGTGGTGCAATCTCAGCTCACTGCAAGCTCCGCCTCTTGGGTTCACACCATTCTCCTGCCTCAGCCTCCTGAGTAGCTGGGGCTACAGGCGCGCACCACCACGTCCGGCTAACTTTTTTGGATTTTTAGTAGAGACGGGGTTTCACCGTGTGAGCCAGGATGGTCTCGAGCTCCTGACCTTGTGATCCGCCCACCCTGGCCTCCCAAAGTGCTGGGATTACAGGCGTAAGCCACTGCGCCTGGCCTCAAATCTAATTTTTTAAAAAACTTATTTATCGTGAAATAAAATATAAAATTTCAGAGAATATAGGCAACTTAAGTAATTTTGTAAACCAATGAAAAACAAATGAGAAATTAAGAAATTAATTTAATGAAGAAGTTAAGGGAAAAAAATCTGACTCTGAGATGACAGTAAAACTATAGTGTCAAGCAAAAGCATCAGGAGTTTATTAGAAACCCTCTTACATGAGCAAGTAAAGAAATTCTGGACCAGGCACAGTGACCCACACTTATAATCCCAACACTTTGGGAGGTCAAGGAAGGTGGATCACTTGAGTCCAGGAGTTGGAGACCAGTCTGGGCAACAGAGCGAAACCCCATCTCTACAAAAAATTACAAAAATCAGCTGAGTGTAGTGGCCCAGGCCTGTGTTCCCAGCTACTAGGGAGGCTGAGGTGAAAGGATCACTTAAGCCCAGGAGCTGAAGGCTACAGGGAGCCAAGATCGCACCACTGCACTCCAGCTGGGGTGACAGAGCAAGACCCTGTCTCAAAAAAAAAAAGAAAAAAGAAAAAAAGTCTGTATAAAGAAATAAAATACACCCCCAAAAATCAAAGTCAGAAGAGTAAACACTAGTAGATATGAAGAGAATCCACAAAAAGCATAGATATTATGAAAAAAAGCATACGAAATTATAAAATAGTGAACTACTACAAATGTCTGTTGACACTATAAAATCTTTCCACTACACAATGCTGCACATCATACTAAGTCAGGAGCAGCAAACTAAGGCTCACAAGCCAAATATGGCCCACTATCTGTTTTTATAGATAAAGTTTCATTGAAACACAGACAGGCACAATTGTTTACATTTGTCTGTGGCTGCTTTCACACTACAATAGCAGAACTGAGTAACTGCAACAGAGACTGAATGTCCTACAAAGCCTAAAATATTTACTATCTGCCCCTTTACAGGAATAAAGTAGCCAGACCCTACTAATAACTAAAAATGTGCTTCCTCTTTATTTAGTACCTCAGTAGATTTATAAGCAATATCACTAAGATATTTTTCCTGAGCCTGCTGTTCCAAAATTTGGAGTTCATGTTCTGTAATATCTAACGACATCAAACAAGCTCTTTCCATATTCTCTTTCAATTTATTGTCTTCTACTCCTTCTTCAAATCCATCTTCTTTTCGTTCCACTTTATTTCCAAGTACATCTTCTCCACCATGTTTAGCTAAATGATCAAGTGTTGGGTCCCATGTTTCATCTTCAACATTAATAAAAATTTTATGTTCTCCAATTTGTTTCTGTTGTACTCCCCCAGTAGTTGAATCTTCAAAGGATAATAAGTTTAAATTATTGCTAGGCCTCAGTTCGGTCTCAATGTTAGTAGACCCAATTATCATCTTCCTCAGTGAATACAGATTTTCTGAAATATCCTTTAGTAAGATAGAAACTCTAAAAAAAATAGAAAGATTAATTGAACTTTAATTGCATTAACTATAAGGACAAATTGTGAAGCATTTTAATAAGTAAAAGCTTTCTAAGTTGACCTTCACTTAAAAGATCAATAGTATTAAGACTGTTCTTCATTCCCTAATGCCCACATATAATTACAGCTTACAGGCTACTCTCTAGCATCGAGGCACTTCTGTACCAACAGTTGACTTGTATGTTTACTAAGAGTCAGTAGTGCTTGATCCCAAATTTGTTTATGCCAACTATAGATTTTTTTGTTGATTAATTTGATTAATTTAATTAATGTAAAGTAAGTTGATGCTACATGATCACCAAAAAAAACAAAAACAAAAAAAAAACAAAACCTATTTCATTAAATTCTAAGTTGAATATACAGAAAGATTCTGTAAATTTCTTTTTTGTTAAAAAAAAAAAAAAAGGTGTTTGATAAACTATGATAAAAGAACCCTAAAAGTCTCAAGGAAAATCATAATGCCTAGGACTCTACACTAAGATTACTTCAAGTGTCTTAATTTTTCACTCTGTCTTAAAGAATTGGAAATTGTAGATGGTACACTATAGGTGTGGTTTAAACAAGAAACACCATGCAGAACTCCAAAGAGCTGGCCTGTATATAACGAAAAAGCCTTGACATATACAAAAAGATTGGGAACAAACAAACATTAACATTTTAAGTTAAAAGAAAATTTGGGGCGGGCGCAGTGGCTCATGCCTGTAATCCCAGCACTTTGGGAGGCTGAGGCAGGTAAATCACTTGAGGTCAGGAGTTCGAGACCAGTCTTGCCAACATGACAAAACCCTGTCTCTACTAAAAATACAAAAATTAGCCGGACGTGGTGGCACGTGCCTGTAATCTCAACTACTCAGGAGGCTGAGGCAGGAGAACCACTTGAATCCCGTAGGCAGAGGTCCCAGTGAACTGAGGTAGTGCCACTGCACTCCAGCCTGGGCAACAAGAGCAATATTCCATCTCAAAAAAGAAAGAAAATTTGATGATCCCGTTTTGCCTAATTGTTTCACTTCACTGATCAATTACTAGTCCCAACTGGAACAAGTAAGAGTGTTTGTGCTCTAATTTGAAAATGATGCTGTTTTGCATCTCCAAAAATCTCGAAACTCTACATTTTTGGAACAGAAAAAATCAATTTCCCATCAGTAGGCAAATATAACAAGTGAGAAAATATGGATAGGATGCATATAAATAAATATGAGCTGAATTTCTTAGCTCCTTAATTGCAGCTGCTAATGTATAACATTTTAACTAAGTAAGTTTAAATGACTATATTATAACCCAACCTAGTTAGTTGGAATGGAAAACGACTGCTAGAGTGTAAAATGAGGCACAACATCTTGTCTATTTGTTGTAGAGCTTATTAAAGTACTTCATAAAAGCAGAAATTAGTGGAAGTGAAGGGAATATGATAGGCAGGGACATGTTTTACTCCTTAATTAGTGATTTTGTTTAGGTCTTCTAATATTTATATATTTAATATCAATGCTTAATAAAATCTGACATGCCTTTTAAAATTTTATACTAATGACTCAAGTAAAAATTTGATCCTTCAGGGGAATAAATTATCAAAAGTGCTAAGTGGTTTCATGCGTTATTTCCAGTTACTTCTATCACTGAAAACACCACTCCAAAGTTGGGCTCAGCTTAAGTAGACAAAGTCTACATTAACACAAACAAAATCAAAAGCAAAATTAAATTCAAAAACTAAAAACACACTAATGTTATCTAATTTAAACATTCTAAAATTCTATAAATCTTATAAAGAACTTTTAGCCTTGTGGCAGGCGCCTGTAGTCCCAGCTACTCGGGAGGCTGAGGCAGGAGAATGGCGTAAACCCAGGAGGCGGAGCTTGCAGTGAGCTGAGATCCGGCCACTGCACTCCAGCCTGGACGACAGAGCGAGACTCCGTCTCAAAAAAAAAAAAAAAAGAACTTTTAGCCTTACATGCAGCCACTCAAATGTTAAAATTACATGCAAATAGTTTAGTAGGAACAGGTATGTGATACAGTTTAATTGTTACATGGACAGGAAATGGTGTCACATACAAAACAGCAACAGTGGCACAGATTGACTATCAAGAGTGTAAGGGCTCATTTATCAGGCCCTGACATCAGGGAATATAACATGTGTTATGTAAGATAACTAATATTTACTCTAACAAATACCAAGGCTGTCCTGCCTTCTTCAGTAAGGCACAGTGTACTTTTCCTTCTTCTTCAGGATTGTTATTATGCATATTAGTAGCCTGCAGACAGCCTTAGCACCCAGGAGAATGTCAAGTACATGACAGCAATAGAAGAGATATATACTGAATTTAAATCAGTGACTAAGCAGTACTATACACTGCCAATACCTTCAGAGTCCACTGAAGCATAAAGCTGCTCCCTTCTGTAACAAACTTCAAACCGTTCTATTTTAAGAGTTCTTAGTTCTAATTTTTATAGTTTTGTTTACTCTTTCACAGATTGTCAGCTGTCACTTCCACCTACTGTCATGTGCATATCATTAGTTATTTACACCATTTTCACTTTAACTCGGTACCCAAGCTTGTCAAGCAAAACGTGGCCTCACGCACTCCACTGGAAATGCAGAAAGTAAGCTGGAATACATGCTTATAGCATTATTTTGACTGCTCAGAGGTCTTTTTCGTTCTCTCCTGGTTCTGAGGTGTCATCTAGATACATTAGATATTACTGTGAACTTGTTACAAAGAACATGAAATAAGAGACTAATTATTGTTTTCACACTAAAACTTCGCAAGACCCAGTTTTTCCCATTCCCAAGTTTTAAGAAAACCCATTTAGCTTCAAAATGTAAAAAATAATTATATAAATTGATAATTCTTGTCATACCCAACTAAATCAGAGTCAAGGGCCAAGAGAAAAAAAGCACTCAAGGCACATAACATTACTTTAAGAATATAATTTTCTGGGAGCCTACTTTCTGAAACTGCCTATTATAACCTAAAACCAGTTTTATCTAATAGATACTGAAACAACCTGCTGCAACTCTAAGACTAGTTTTACCCACCACAGTCACTAACCAATTCAGAGCTTCCAACTCACTAAAATTTACTAGTGCCAAAGAACTTTCTGGAAAAACAATACGTAACATTTTCCTTTTTATATAACCTCCAAACTTCTCTTCGTTGTTCAGAGATACCAAAGACCACCCAGTCTGTGTATATGCCCCAAATTTAATTCTTGCTTCCCAAATAAAACATTTTCAATTTAATGATCTGTCTCTATATTTTACTTGACTTCAACAGATATTATGAAGCAAAGCATTAAGCATATGTGATTTACATCCAGTAGATATTTTAATTGCTAGTACAAAAATCTGAAATGCATGTAAAAGTCACGTAAAAAGTGACTGCTCTAATTTCATGGAGGGAAAAATGTATAAATGAGTAAGAAATGGCTTTGCTAGTATCCTCCCCCATTTGAAAGTTATATCTTTCAGGCCGGGCGTGGTGGCTCACGCCTATAATCCCAGCACTTTCGGAGGCTGAGGCGGGCAGATCATGAGGTGAGGAGATCAAGACCATCCTGGCTAACATGGTGAAACCCCGTCTCTACTAAAAATAAAAAAA